TTATCAGCATCGTGATCCTTACCCTCATCATCATCATCATCAGCAGCAGCATCGTCACCATCATTATCAGAAGCATCCTCATCATTGTTATCATCATCCTCAACATTATCCTCGTCGTCCTCATCATCATCCTCATCCTCATCAGCATCAACAGCACAACCACCATCACCATCATCATCAGCAGCAGCACCATCATCATCAGCGGCATCCTCCTCATCATCATCATCATCATCATCATCATCATCATCATCATCATCATCATCATCATTAGCATCACCATCATCATCAGCAGCATCAGCATCATCATCAGTATAAGCATCAGCATCAGCATCAACATCATCAGCATCAGCATCATCATCGACATCATCATCATCAACAACAGCATCAGCATCACGCAGCCTTCTCCTCCTCCTTCTCCTCCTCCGCCTCCTCCTCCCCCACTACCTCCTCCTCCCACCACCTCCCTCCTCCTCCTCATCCTCCTCTATCTCCTCCTCATCTTCCTTCTCCTTCTACTTATCGTCCTCTTCCTCCCCTTGCTCCTCCTCCCCTTCTCATCCTTACGTAGGACCGCGCCAGCCAGACACCTAGACTGATCCTGGCCAGGCCAGTGCATGAGCCCAGGCTCGGTGTTGGCGGAAGCATATTCGTATGTGTTGTTGCTTAGAGGCGTGGCTCACCACTCAGGTCCCACCCACCCCAACCCCCAAACGAATTTCGGCCTCCCTGGCCCACCTGGACGCTCCTGCAAGAGTCTCCTCCTCGACGTTTTCTGCCAGGCCTCGAAGACGGGTCCAGGTCAGGGAGACGGCCAGACGGCACCGTGAGAGCCCAGAGTACTCGGTTGTTCGGTCTCCCTGGCTCCTGACACCGCTAACGGGGCCCGAACATCGGATCAAAACGGGCCAGAAGAGCACCCATAAAGTCGAATAGAGCTCCAAGACTGCCCAAACAGGGCCCCACGACGGCCCGAATGGAGCATCACGACGGCGACCCCAAGAGTACCGCCAGAGGCTGCCAAGATGCCTCCTCCTCCTCCTCCTCCTCCTGATCTTCCCCGCCGTCCTCCCCCGAGTGTTCCCCGAAGGGTCTCCACAACGGCCAGAGCTCGGCGGAGCTCTGGACACGGCGCTCGGCCACACCACGCGCTGCCAAGGGGCAGGGGGGCGGCGGCGCTGCGCCGCAGGCGCCTTCGACAGCGAATGGGGAGCGCCCACAAAGGCGCCCACGAACGAGCACCGGGCAAACCTCCGGCTGGCCCACCCAGCGCACGAGGCGCCCGCGAGGCGCCCACGGGCGCGATCGGAAGGGGACCAGGCGAGACCTCGGCTACGTCACGCAGCGCACGAGGCGCCCACGAGGCGCCCACGGGTGGGCACCAAGCAGAACCTGAAAAACCTCGGACCCATCCAGTTCATGAGGAAACCCGGCTAGAAACTTCCTTAAAACCTCGCCAAAACTGTGTGCTACACCTATACGCTCATCTCTCTCTCTCTCTCTACTGCTATCTCTCTCTCCCCCTCTCTTTACAGACACATGTATATACAAGATACACAGGTCCTAGTCCGGCAATGGGCCTGGCCAGGATCAGCGCGGGTGTATAGTCGGTGACCTCCGACTCCTCCCCATCCTCCCCATCCGCGCGTTCCCGCCAAAGTTGTAAAGAAATTGCTAAAGAGTTGAAGGCTCGCCTGCCAGAACTAAGACTGTGAGTGTGAGCCGCCCCTCCGCGACGAGAAGACGGCGCTCCTAGGAGCTAGGAAGAAGTGCAAGCAGAGGAAGACGGCGACGCACACTCTGCTCGCGGCGGCGGCGCACGAACCCCGCACCGACGGATATGGATCTGCCAGTGGAGACCACTTCTGAAACTAAACGCTTTTGTTGTCCGTTGGCGGCGCGCTCAGGGGGAGACGCGGAGGGGGGGGGGCCTGCGAAGGAGACCAAAGGGCTCCTCAAGGAGGCTGGGGGCCCCTCCACCCCCCCCGGGTGTCCCAGAGACCTTGTCGGAATCCCGCCAGCCCCCCCGCGAAGAGGGCCCCGCATTCCAGAAGCCCCCGGCCTTCCTGGAGGGCCACCCCCGTCGCGCCGACCCCCCTTAGCGCGCCCGCCGAGCTAGTGCGGGTGAGACAAGAAACAAGAAAGGCGCTTTTTGTTGATGGTGACGCCACGGCGTCGGTAGGAAGACCAAAAAGGAGCGCGCACGGGTGCGCTGGACTTAGGTCGGGCATGTCCTCCTACAGGCAGACGTTGGACAAAAATACACAAGACTCCAACAATTGTCAAACATAGTCCAAGAATCGTCCCCCTACTATGTTTGACTATTTTTGAATATTCCTCCTGTAGAGGGACAATGCCCGACTTCACGCTGGCCTCCCTACGAGCCAGCACGGGCGCGAGCCGCGCTCGCCCCCGAGCTGCCCGCGCGGCCAGCGCGCTGCCCGCGCAGAGGGGGGCCTGCCAGATCTCAGGCTCCGCCGCGGACAGCCGCCGCGGGCCGCGCCTGCAAGAGGGCCCGCCCCCGGCTGCCTCCTCCTCCTCCTCCTCCTCCTCCTCTCCTCCTCCTCCCTCTCCTCCTCCTCCTCCCCTCCTCCTCCATCCTCCTCCTCCTCCTCCTCCCCCTCCTCCTCCTCCTCCTCCTCCTCCTCCTCCTCCTCATCCTCCTCATCCTCTTCCTCCTCCTCCTTCCTCCTCCTCTCTCACCTCCTCCTCCTCCCACTTCCTCCTCCTCCTCCTTCCTCCTCCTCCTCTCCTCCTCCTCCTCCTCCTCCTCCTCCTCCTCCTCCTCACTGGTTCCTCCTCCTCCTCCTCCTCCTCCCCTCCTCTCGCCGCCGCCGCCTCCTCCTCCTCCTACTCCTCCTCCTCCTCCTCCTCCACCTCCCTCCTCCCTCCTCCTCCCCTCCTCCTCCTCCTCGCTCCTCCCCCTCCTCCTCCTCCTCCTCCTCCTCCTCCTCCTCCTCCTCCTCTCCTCCTCCCTCCTCCCCCCTCCCCCTCCTCCTCCTCCTCCCCTCTCCTCCTCCTCCTTCTTCTCCTCCTCCTCCTCCTCCTCCTCCTCCTCCTGACTCCTTCCTCCTCCTCCTCCTCCTCATCCTCCTCCCCCCTCCTCCTCCTCCTCCTCCTCCTCCTCCTCCTCCTCCTCCTCCTCCTCCTCCTCCTTGCCTCCTCCTCCTCGTCCTCCTCCCCTCCCTCCTCCTCCTCCCCCTCCTCCTCCTCCTCACTCCTCCCTCCTCCTCACTTCCTCCTCCTCCGCCTCCTCCCTCTTCCTCCTCCTCCTCCTCCTCCTCCTCCTCCTCCTCCTTCACTCCTCCTCCTCCTCACTTCCTCCTCCTCCTCCGCCTCCTCCTCCTCCTCCTCATCCTCCTCCTCCTCATCCTCCTCCTCCTCCTCCTCACTTCATGTTCTCCTCCTCCGCACGTCCTCCTCCTCCTCCTCCTCCTCCTCCTCCTCTTCTTAGTAGTAGTCTCATTAGTCTTCGTAGTGTCAGTCTTCGTAGTCTTAGCATTATTCTTATACTTATTCATCTTATTCGTCTTATTATTATTATCATTAATCTTCTTATTAGTATTATTACTATCATTATTATTATTAATAATATTAGTAGTAGTATTATTATTAGTATTATTGTTATTAGTATTATTCGTCTTCGTCGTATTAGCATTCGTAGTATCATCCTCCTCCGTATTAGTATTATTCGTAGTATTCTCATTAGTAGTAGTATTCTTGTTATTTGTATTCGTATTCGTATTAGTGTTCGTCTTCGTATTATTATTAATAATATTCGTAGTATGAGTATTATTCTTATTCGTATTCTGATTATTCGTCTTCTTCTTATTATTATTATTCGTATTATTCTTCGTCTTCATATTCGTCGTATTCGTCTTATTATTCTTCTTATTATTATTATTATTATGATTGGTATTATTAGTCGTCCTCCTCCTTCTCATCCTCATCCTCCTCCTCCGCCTCCTCCTCCTCCTCATCCTCCTCCTCGTCATCCTCCGCTTCCTCTTCCTCCTCCTCCCTCCTCCTCCTCCTCCTCCTCCTCCTCCTCCTCATCCTCCTCCTCAGTTCCTTATAATCCTCCTCCTCCTCCTCACTCCTCCTCCTCCGCCTCCTCCTCACCCTGCATACCGTGGACGCCAGGCCCAAGGTGTGCCAGTGATCGCTGGTGACCGTATCTGCGACGAGTGACGACTGCATGCCGCGGTCGTTGGACCACAAAGCGTGCTGGTGCTACCTGGGGATCCCGCCTCGCGTTCTCGGGTGGGGATCGATCGAAGAAAAGTCCGCTATCCCACCAGCCCTCTGGGAGGAGGTGGTCTAGGGAGTTTCCTCTTCCAACCCCCTTCCTCGCCATTCGGGGAGGAGTTGTTCACTGTTCCCTATTATATACACCCCCTCCCCCACCGGGCCGGCGTCCAGCCTGGAACCATGCCGACACCAGAAGGGCCCGCTCCCCGCCATCACTGTCAAAAGGCCATACAAAACGCACTCTGCCTCCACATTTGCAGCATGCGCGGCCGCCCCGCGACCATTTTGTATTGGGATTTTACGGTGACGGCTGGGGTGCCAGCAGATCCCACCTGCCTTCTGGGCGCAGGTGGTCGACTGACTGTTTGACACATCAGTGGCTGCTGCCTCTTCGCCTAATCGTTTCCGATGGGCTTTCGAAACCTGCAAATGGCTCCAAAATTGGCCAAGAAAGCTCCAAGGTCGGGCTCAAGAGGCCTCCAAGCTGGCCCAAGAACGCACCAACTTGGCGCCAAAAGGGCGCCAAGAGGCGGCTTTGAAGGCCCCAGAGGGGGAGGCCTCCTGATGGATGGCACAAGAGAGCTCCAAGCCGTGCCCACGGAGCCTCCGAGACGGCCCCAAGAGCGCCCCAAGGTGGCCCAAAGATGGCCTCAAGAGGTTGTTTTGAAGGCCCCCGACGGGGGGGCTAGCCCCAAATGGGGGGGGAAGCGTATCGTTTCCGGCGAGCATTGCGGCGTACGGAGGTGGAGACCCTTTTGGTGCCCAGTGGCTGGCGCACCTGGCGCGGCTGGAGCACGTGGAACGTTCCGCACCTGGCGCGCCTGGCACGCTTGGGCCTCCAGGGTCTGGTGCATATGGAACCAGTGGCGTCTGCGGCGTTCTTACGCGATATGCTAAATCCGGGCTGTTACGTATGTGTTGGGAGGGCGGGTGGGAGTGAGCTAGACGGCTTGCGGGCGGGTGGGTAACTTTGACCCCTCCCCGCGACTCCCTCCCATGGACCTGGACCGGGCGCCCGCGAGGTGTCAGAGGGTACCTGTTCGCCCAAGATGGCTCCAAGAGGACATCACAGAGCCCAAGATGACCCAACATGGCTCAAGATAGCCCAAGATGCCTCAAGTCGGCTCCCAAGGCCCCAAGAACGCTCCAAGACGGCTCCAAGACTCCTCCGAGATCTCCAAGGAGGCCTCCAAGAAGCCCAAATCCTTCCAAAGCCTAAGGGAAGTAATGTTGGTTGCTTTCTCGCCTGTAGGCTTGAGATGGCCATCCGAGGCCTCAAGATGGCTCCAAGATGGCCCAGGAGGGCCCCAGGAGAGACCCAAGAGAGCCCCAAGACGGCCCCAAGAGCACCCAAGAGCGCTCCAAGAGCGCCCCAAGAGGCGACTGTGGGGGCTCCCAAGAGGGGGCGCGAATTGGGGAACCCCTCTTCTTTGATCGCTCTCCTCCAAGATGGCCCCAAGAGCGCTCCTAAGGCTCCCCAGAACGCCTCAAGATGGCCCCAAGAGGCACCCAAACGGCCCCCAGAGGCGCCCAAGATACCTCCAAGAGGCTCCCAAGAGGCCCCCAAGAGGCTTCAAGAGGATCCCCGAGGCACCCAAGATGCCCCCCAGACGTTCCAAGAGGCCTCCAAAAACTCCCAAGAGACATCCGAGCAGGCTCTTACGTTCGTCCTGTGTCCTTCTCCTCCTCCTCCTCCTCCTCCTTTTCCTCCTCCTCCTCCTCTTCCTCCTATTCCTCCTCTTATTCCTCCTCCTCCTCCTCCTCCTCCTCCTCCTCCTTCTCCTCCTCCTCCTTTTCACTTCCAAGGGAAACCAGAGGAGACTCCGAGAGTCATTCAAGAGTCCTCTGGCTCGTCTGTCTACCCTTCTTTCCTCATCGTCCTCCTCCTCCTTCTCTTCCTTGTCCACTGCCTCTTCCTCCCGTCCTCCTCCTCGCCCTCCTCCTCCTCCTCCTCCTCCTCCTTCTGCCGGTCCGTCTGCAGAGGTGTGAGGACGAGCACGACCTTCCCTGCTTACACAGAAGGCCACGGGCCGCACGGCTGAGCGTGCTGTGTGAGGCCGAGCGCTGTGCCGGGAGTGGGGCGCGACGGTGGGGGTGAACACCATAACGGCCCGGCTGGACCTGACCAAGGCCTACTGCAGCAGGCGTTGACCTAAGGAACCCTAAATAAGGAACGAGGCCCCTATTTTCCATAAGTTAAACTTCGACTTCTCATCGAAAACTTAAGGAAAACCTTAGGCAAGGTGTGGAGCAATTAAGGAACACCGAGCCCCTCCCCAACGCAAAGGGTTCCTTCTTCAGCGCCCCGACTGTACTGCAGCAGGAGCTCAACCACAAGAAGCCTTCGCGAGAAGCCCAACCCTGAGACCCCAAGGTGTCCGTTGACTTGTGGTGTGGGAACGTCACGCTTTCCATAGCGAAAACATCGAAAACCGAGAAACCCAAGGCACCCTGGTGGCAAGCAGGGTCTTTCTTGGCATGGGTTCCCACTGTAGAGGATCGGGCACCAAAAGATGTTGGACGGAGGCTCGAAGTGCAAAGCAAACCTCGTCCTGTTGGGCACGAGCCTCAACGTGTACAGCGGGCCGCGCAGGTGCAAGGTGGAGCAGGCGCACTCGGAGCAGTTCCCCATCATGTGCAGCATCTCGGCAGGATGCGGCTTCGCGACGTCGTGGCTCAAGGTCCTCAGGCATAGCAGCCTAAAGATGTCTGGCGAGCGCTATCCGAGCATGATGCTGTCCGCCTTCGTCGATGACATTACCATCGTGTGCGTCGGGCTTCAGATGTTTCTGATCAAGATCTCGTCGAGCGGCCTGGCGCACATGATCCATCTCATGCGGGCGCTGGGCTTCGAGGTCAACGGTTCGAAGTCGGTCATCGTGGTGCGCGAGAATCGCACGGGCAAGTGCACCACCGACAGGGTCGGGCAGACCGCAGGCCTCTCAGCGCAGGCGGCCAAGCACAGCAAGAACCCAGATGTCGACTCGACCGTCGAGCTTCAGCGCAGGGTGAAGGTGGTCAAGGCGAACGTCAGCAAACGGTCGAAGCGGCGAGGTCGCGTGGAGTGCCTCCGAGAACGCGGAGCCCCAGTAGGCAAGGTGGGCCGCATGGGCATGCAGCCTGCCATGACGTACGGGGCCAGCGTACTGGGTCGTAGCGACACCCAGCTCAGGGAGCTGCGGGCGCTAACAGGAGCCACCATGTTCACGAACACGGCACGTCGCTCCCTCACTATCTCCGACCTACTCGAAG